TTAAATTTTATAATACTATAGTTTTAATATATATATAGATATATATAATTTTATAGTTTTATATCTTTATATTTTTACGTTTATAATTTTATAAATTTAATTTATAGATTGAATTTACATAATAAAGTGATTTATTAAAAACATTATAGTAAATTTCTTCATATCTTTTAAATTTGACTTTAATACAACTTTGAATGTTTTAACACACTTTTATGATTTTAAATGTAATTTAATGTTTTTTTTTAATATTTTCACAAATAGTTCCTTAAAAAAAATTAACTATTTTTTTTGCATATTATCTGTGATAATGGCATAAGTTTAGCTATCCTACTTTATAGTTGAAAGCTTTGTTGTGAAGGTTTTTTTTTTTTAGCTTTCTTTCTTAAAAATATTTGAAAAATATTCATTGAATTACAAACATATATTTCAAAAAAAATAAATTATTTGAGTGATACTTTTGTGACAATGACACAGGTTCATTTAATTAGAATTAATTTAGGATTTTTTAAGGTTATTTTATAATTTTTTAAAGAATTTTTAAAGATATTTATTTAAGATTTGATTAGTATTTTATTAGGAATGTTAAAATTTAATTGAATTTTATTTAGGATTTTACTAGAGCTATTAAGTTCTTATTTAGTTTTAAAATTTAATTTTAGTATTTACAACTAAGAATTTGATGCATTTTTAAATAAGACTATACATTGTCATATAATGTGAATTCTTGCTTGAAAATACACTAGACACCTAATTGTAGAATATAAATAGAAAATGCAACAAGAAGATCCTATCAAGGCTAATAGGATCTAAAATAAACTCTAAATAATCTTTAACAAATTTAATCAAATTTTAATCAAAAAAAATTCAAAAGAAATTACAAAAAAAAACATAAAGAAGTTATAAATTAATCTCAAAGAAAAATAATTAAGAAATCCTAAAGAAATATAAAAATAAAATATTTAAATTGATAATAAAAATATTAAATAAATACTAAAAATAAAAATATTTATATAAATAATAAAAATATTTTTAAAATATTAAAAATAAAATTATAAATATATCCTAAGTAAATCTTAGATAAATTCTAATTAAATCTTGATGTAGCCCTAAAAAAACTCTAATAGAATTCTAACAATTCTAAACAAATCCTAAAAAAATATTAATCAAATCTTAATTAAATCTTAGACCAAATCCTAATAAAATCATAATAAATCCTAATCAAACTCAAAGAAAATCCTAAATAAATGTTAATAAATTATAATAATTATTTTAAAACTTCAATAAGTATTAAATCATTGATTTTAATTAAAATTTTATTTAAATTTTAATCTACATATAATTAATAAACATAAAAAATTTGAAAAGAATCTAATTCACTAATTAAAAGCAAAGCTTCTAAAATCTCTTAGATGTTAGCCACCATCCTTTTCCAACTTGAATATTAATCTTCTAATAGCAATTTTTCTTTCTAAATTGTTCAATTGCTTTAAACTTTGATTTTTTTGTAGATTTCTAAGTTTAAATGGTTCCCACCAAGTTTTGCTTCAATCAAATTGATAGATATTGCAAGATTCTAAATTTTAATTATTCAAGATCATAATCTACAAAAACTCTTACAATCTTTAATCTAATCATTTGATTGACATCAAATTTTCACACACATTTAAAAAAAGTACAATAACAAACTAAAAAAATTTCAATTATAAATATACTACAACACTCATACAATCCTCAAATTTGTGAACTTCTTTTTATTTCTAAAAATCCAAACCTACTGAATACATCTCTTATTTTGAAAATCCTTCAAAACCTCAATATCTCTTCAAATCACATGAAATCAACTTTCAAAAATTTACTCTCAAATCTCACTCTCTAATCAACCAAAGAATCCTAGAATTGCCATAGGTGTATGGTTTTATACCTCAAGTTTTGATTTTGAGCTTGATTCATAATTGGTCCTCTCTGGATATCAATTCTTCAAATTTTGAGATAAGTTTTGCTAAAACCTATTTTTAAATCCTTCCTAAAAATTCCTATATTAATTATTTATATTATTTACTTTGATTTGGCTCACTTTAGCTCCTATAAACTCTCTTCTTTAAGAAGGTAACATTAGCATTTATTAATTTTTTCGATCTTGTTGCCTATAATCTATATTTCTAAGATAATGTGCCAAATTATTTTTATTGAAGCTCTTCTATAATATAATCTTGCCTTTCTTCTTTCACCATATAATTGTGTTATGACATAACAATATAAGACAACATTGTTGTAATAGATATAATTTTTTATTAGATTAAAACATCATTTAGATTTCAATTATTATTAAAGAGCATAAAACTTAATCATTGGCCTTTTAATTTGGTAGCATAAAAATATTCAAATATATACTCTAAATATGATATGAGTAATATTAATAATTTCAATTAATTATGAATACTTTGGAAGAACTTACCTAATAGAAAGATATGAATGAATAGAATTTATAGAATAGAATGTAGGCTAGAGATTTTTTATTTATATAAAAATTAAAATAACAAAGTCTAAATAATAGAAAGTGTATTAAAGATGTCCAATCTATGTAAAAATAAAATATCTTGAAGTTTGAATTAAGCAATTTCAATCAAATTAAACAAGTAGTAGCCAAAATATATATGTATATATATATATATATATATATATATATATATAGCTATTAATAATTAAATAAATTAATATAAATAACTATTAAAGCCAAATATTAGTAAAAATTCTTAATATAATATATAGTTATTATAATTATTAAAATTATTGTTATTGATTTTAAATTTTTATTTAAATTAGTTATAAATAATAATTATTTTTTAAAGTAATGTTTTTTTCTTCTATCATTGTGAATCCTATCAATAGATCTTATTTGGTGGAATTATTAAAAAATATAGTTTAAAATTATTTAGATACAAAAATATTAAGATTAAAGATTTTATTTAATTTATTTAAGTATTTATTAGAATCTAAAAGGATTTATAAGTTGCAAGAGTCTTATTAGAAAAAACGTCATAAAAACAAAGTTTTAATAAGTCTTGGAGGAAATTACCTTAGTTAATATAATGTATTTTTTTAATTATAAGAATTAGTTTTTAGTTATTCATACCAGTGTTCCATTTGGCCTTCTATTCAAATGTATTATTTATAAAATAATATCTATGAGTTTTAGTTAATAGGTAGAAGAAGCATAATAAAGAATCTAATGTCTCTTTTGTTATTTATGTAAAAAATAAGATTTTAAGTTGATTGAAATTGATTCTATTATTATAAGTAATCACAAAAGAAAGATAGATTTTCTTTAAATTGATATTAATATTTTAGAAAAATTATAAAAAATTAGAATGATTTTGATTTTATTTTAAAAATTTAAAGAATTTTGGAAACTTTGATTTTTAAATAAACATTTATTACTTTAAAAGGCTATTATGAAGAACATTAGTAAGACTTTAAAGCTCTATAAAGTTGTATAAGCTAATTGGATGCTTTTGAATATTATAGTGAAATTAATAATACAAAAAAATCCATAGATAAATAAATAAAATATATAATTTTACTTGTAAAAAATAGAACGACCAACAATTAGTGTAGTTCTTGTAGAAAGGGAGATACATATGTTATATATGGGTTGTAGCACTGTGGATAAAGGAAAGAAAATAAAAATAAGGCGTTGTGACTTCTCTAAAACAATCTTATATATTACTTGTGAGCCTTGGTGAGGCTCAAATCTTTTATCTCTTAAGCAAATTATTCTTGTAATAAAACATATTCAATTAACTTTAATATTATTTATTTTCTACCTTTAAATTATCATAACTTATTTAAAATAAATTAGATCTTATTATTTTCATTTTTATTAAAAATATTTAAAAAATACAAATTTAAAATTGAAGCAATCTCAAAAAAATTGGTTGAAAGGTGAATTTTATTCTCACAATTATTTAATAAAATAAAGTTCTTTTAATATTTTTTTTAAAAGTATACTATATATAATACAATAAAAATTAATAATTGGAGCAAAATTCTTCTTAATATAAATTTCAACTATAATTTATCAACTTTGACACAAAAAAAAAAAAAAAAAAAAAAAAAAAAAAAAATTGAAATAAATATTTTGAAACCAATATCTTATAAGAGATATAACAATCTAATGATGATTTAAGGTGATTATAAGTTCTATCTAAATAATAATGAAGTTTAGAGAGAATTTTTTGATTAATTAAATTTAAGATCTATTTATATCTAAAATAATAAAATTTAGACCTTAGATATACCAAACAATAAGTCTTTGTTTTTTTTTTTTTTGTAACAATAACTACCATTAATTCAAATGATTCTACTAATTAATTTGATATTTTATCAATATAATATTTGAGGTGAATATAAATATACATATATAAAAATGATATTTTTAATATACATAAAATTTATTATAGTACAAGTTTTATTTATTTATATATTAATATTTTGATTTATATAAATCTAATAATTTCAATAAATTTTTCGTATCTTTTTTATATTTACATAAAAAATATATAATTGATAAGGCAATTACAATTTAAGATTTCTTCTAATTTTTTTTATTGATAATATTTTTTCTTGTAAAAAGTTTCCAAATTTTTATTTTAAATAATATAAAAGTCAAATAAAATCATAAAAAATATAATCTATGAATTTTATTTTAAAATTTTGTTTTAAAATTATTTTTCCTTCTCTAGTATAAAGTATTAAAATTATTCTTTATATATACATATATATATATATATATATATATATAAAAGATTATATCATAACTAATACTATATATCAATGGAATTCATTTTGTTAACTACAATGTTATCTTCAATTACTTTTTGCAACATAAGGTACAAATATTATTAATAAGTTTATATATATATATATATATATATATATATACTTCACCCACACTATGCACCAAACATAAAATGAATTTCAAGAATCTATGTATATAGTTTAAAAAATTAAGATAAAAAATGAAGGTCTTATGTAAGACCTCTAACATTACATTTCTTATATAAATGCTGTAATCTATTGTGTGATTAAGATAGTGTTTCAGCTTATAAATAAGAACTCTAACTAACAAACTTTTGAAAAATAACGTATTTTTTTCAATGAAAATTTCAATGCTTTCCGACACACACAATACAATGAATAAAATATAAACATTATCTTATATTATCAATAGTATCTGGTAATCTATTACTAATCTTCATATGTGAATCTTACAAGCAAAATTAAGAAGTTAAAAAATAGAGGCAAACAACAATCCCAGCTATTTTCACTTACCGATTACACAAATTCATAAACATTGTCGAAGTACATCACCCACAAGTATAAGCTTGGCTGTGTTGGATATAAGTAATAATCTCTTGTTCTTCATGCGGTCATTCCTGCAACATGAGGAGAAATGACGTATTGGCAACTAATTCAGAAGATAGCAATTGCAGTTAACCATCAGCAGTTTCTCTTGGATTCCTCAGACAATATTATAATGTGCATACAACGTCAATTTGGAGTGCTCTAAAGTTGAAGGCTCCCACAGCTTGTGAGGATTCTGTGTGCCGCATTGGAGCATTTATTGAACCTTCATGAACCGCTTAACTTTGACGAAATCTGATTGAATTGGAGAACAATTTGAACAACTCAGAAAATAAATCACACCGAGGTATGGATACTAAGCAGCAAGTGCATAGTGGTACTTTAAGAAGGTGATCAGGCCGATAGGATGGGCAACTAAACTGTTTTTCATTAAGTTTGTTGTGAATGAAAACCATTTCGTCCATGAATGTTCGAAGTTGCATTCCTTACCTTTCTGCACCTTGCCTTGATTTCTGATTCACATCTTTGAGGGCAAAAAGGTTCGGCGTAATCTCAGGACACAAGGAAACTCAGCATTGAACAAGTGTCAGAAATTAGTGGTTTACAAAAAATCTAAGAATCCAACGTCCCCTGCAGCATTAAATTATTCCATTAGTTGCCGACATGAGGCAAATTAATTGTAGAAGCTCTCTCTTCTTTCTGTCATTTCTTGATCTGACGCCACTAGATGTTTGTCCCATTTGTTATTGTGAAATCACTATTGCCCATCGCCTCCTTAAAACAAAATAAAAATTACATCTCACCACCACATGAATCGAATTCTGCGGTCAAACATGAATCTTACTGAAGCTCCACTAACATACACAACCACAATGAAAATTCATACTCACTGGGTTGCGGCAAGAGCAGCACAGAAGCTTAAGCAACTAACCATCGCCCCAGGGTCACACGCAAGCTTCGTGCACAGCATTGCATTGCATATTACGGCTGCTGTTGTCGAACACGTATTGGACCACAAGGACAGATCCAGCCCAACAATAAAAGCTCGACACCGCCAAGGATTCCCGCGTTGAGAGTGTGATAACCAACCTGGTCTATCTTTAAATACACGTAAAATCTTTCCATCCAGCGAAATCCACACCTCCTAACCAATCACTCAAAACATCAATAACGCACTCGGCGGAAAAAAGCCCCGTCCATCAGGTAAGTCTGGATCGAACCCATTAACAGACTGTCTGAGGTGGCATTGCCTGTGGGGCCGGGCAGAGGCAAGCCCACAGCCAGAGCACACAGAGCACCATGAATCCTCACCCAACAGCACCAGCTCCCAGAGCGACGAGCTCATGCAGCAGCTATTTCCAGCTCGCCGAGTTTTCAACATAAAGAACCCAAAAAAAAAAAAAAAAAATGCACAGCTTTGTCTCGTCCGACTTGTGGGAACTTTTCCGCTTCCAATTTTGCGTGGCTTCGCCGTGAATTCAGTCAACGCAGGTCTCGCTTTTTAAACAGATTGGAGCTCGACAGCGACCCACATACTCTCCCTGAACAGAGAAAAAATAAATAAATAAATAAATTGTACCCATGCTCGAAATTATTAAACAAAAACCCATAAAAAAGTGAAGGGGCATCGTTGGTGAGAGCTTTTTTCAACGCAGATCCCTCACCAAACATCTCAAACTTGCGCGTAGAAAAAAACAGCGTCCCGCGCCGTCGCGAGATCTCTCGCTCTCTCTCTCTCTCTCTCTCTCTCACCGTTTCGGTCATTAGCAGATGCCAACTTATCCAAAATTAAGGCCGCGCTGATCAGAGCCCCGATTGGTCCAGTCTGAAAAGTCCCATCATATATCCCCACCCTCCACCGTCCCATCACGGCTCGCCACGTGTCTCCCCTCCACCCGGCCGGTTCCAGTTGTGCCCCCAGCCCGCGATATTAGCTCTGCCCGTGGCCTAATTTCATCTCCTCTCGTAAAGCCGAAAACGGCGCCACAAGAAAGGGCCCCTCGAGGCTCTCAGACGATTGGTTTTCATATTCCTTTTAATTGGCGTGGGTCTTATTTAGATTGTCTATAACGTGAGAGAATCCAGCCCCTTTGGAACAGACAGAGGAACGTCTGTGGGAACGACGGTACCCGCACCGCGTTCATCCGTCGAGTGTCGATGTTTTTCATCGATCTGGATGAATACTTCGGCTTCCCAAAGATTATATGGATAGTTTGGTCGTTCTAATTTAGCTTGCTGACCTCACTTAGAAATCATCTCTTACTTTTTTCTTTAAGAACCTAGCTTCCCTTATGAATCTCGCTTCTGACCTAACGCCCATATATATATATATATATACATATATATTTCTCAAACCCTATTTTTAATAAAGCAAAAGGTCTCCTACAATCACCAGAAAGCTTGGTTATTTATCCAAAATTGGTGAGGTCACTTTTTAAGTGTTTGATTAATGCCCAAAGGACTTCTGCCCCATTGGAGCCCTCAATGGGCTACACTCTTTGTCACCTTGACGGAGTCCTCACGGGACTCCAGGCTGCACAAAACCCCCGGTACCCATGAATTTTTACCGGCTTTTAACTTTCCTCTGAAAAGGTTCGACCCACTTTCTTTTTTTAACTATTTTTCCAATTGCGAAACGATTTTTTTGTGTTAATGTGAGGATGACGTGGCAGTCTGTACGGCATTAGTAAGACATAGACTTTCTTTAAAGCAAAATTTTGATTTGTTTAAAATAATAATAAGTAAATCATTGTTTTTATAGCATGAACTTAAGTGTGGGTTACATGAACATCCGGTTTTTTGTGTACTTAAAATGTGTACATTATATGGGAACTGGGTGTAGAAATGGAGAGTTGATGTGGAAGTGGTGATGGGACGGTCTTACAAGGGGCAGCTAATACCTTTGAAGTATTGAAGGCTTGCCTTTAAGGTATTACAGTGCAAGTCCCATCTCTCTTGTTGGCTCGTAAATAATAATAAATAAAGGGGAATGGTAAATAGTCTCAGGTTTTTATTCACTCGACCTACCTACCAATGAAGAAGAATATGGTTATCACAATGAATGTGGTTGGTTTTCATTGGTTTCAAATCTAGTAGTGGGGAAATGAATCTACAAGTTTTTTTTTCTTTTCATGATGGCTAAGATAGGTTGGTCAATTTTGTAAAAGCCTGGGTCAATTTAACATTTTGCTAAATAAATATAATGTTATCATGAAAAGTGGCACCATGTCCAAAATACTGAAAGGTAGGATTCACATTGTATGCAGATGTGTGTGTACACGCGTATATGAATTTTATATAATTTTTATACAACAAATAAATAATTCAACGTGATTGTGTATTGTATGTATAAGTATTAATTCATGTATATGTACACTCCAGTCCTTTATATAACTGTAGTTGATGGAGTTAAACTGCTTTTAAAACATTTCAACCCTTAGTTAAACATTGACTCCGCTCAATCTGGACCCTGCATGCCAAGAAGTTTTGAGATAATCTTACAGATAGAATATAATTCCTCAATAAGCTTGTGAAACCCAATAATCCCAATCACGAGATAAATCATATTTTAAGCTATCTTGATTTTATTTTATATTATTATTGTTATTGTTTTAAAACATGTGTTACATTTTATTTAATTTATTTCCATGTTCGTTTTTATTTAATTCAAATCAAGTTGTTCTTAACCTAAACTCTCACACACATATGCACAGAAATTGCCAAAAAAGTGCATGTTGACAATGTAATATATATGTATATGGTTATAATCTTTTGTACCAAGGCAGGAACATTCTTGTGTACAATATACATATTTTACTAGTGACCTCACCAATTTTGGATAAATAACCCTATTTGCAATTTTCGCAACACATTTTTTCAAACTAGAAAATCAAAAAAACTTGATTAGTTCACGAAGGCGAAGGCATTAGGAATGGGTGACATTTTCCTGTATGCCCCGAAGTCTGATAAAGGGGCTGTGTGAAGACGCTCCCCCCCCATACTCTTGTGCTGCGGAGTGGTCCACTCTTGTGATCAGCCCCCCTGGTGCCAGCAGCTTCTGAGTGCCGCCGCAACGCAGAAAGGAAAATCCATCAGAGTGGACCTCACCGATCGATTCCTCCGCCGCTCGTCGCGCTCACCTCCAGCCCCATTCGAATCCCCGTTTAGTAAGTTGCTTTTTCACTGGAGGATCAATCCCAGTTCAAACGCACCGCAATTCCCTCGCTCGGTGGGTTTTGAATCGTCTTCGTCGTCGTCGTCGTCATCGTCTTCTTCTTCTCCTTCAACTCCGTCTCAGTCGCGGCCTTCGAAGCCTAGTCAATGTTCCCATCCTGTGTGCCTGCCTACAAGGCCCTGCTGACGCACGCCCGCTGTCTATTCGCAATCACATCCCTCTCGCGCGCGCTTAGAATTTCAAGTCCTAGCCCCAACTCGGGAGATGTGCATTCGTGTTAATGTCATTCTGACTTTCGCGACGATCCCCATTGCGAGCTCCCTTCTCACTTTTGGCGAGGACGGCGATAAGAGCCACCACGGTGGCGAGGGGTAGGGCCTGCGAGCAGTGGAATAGTGGGTTGTTGATCAATTAATGCAGCACACCGCGTGCGTCAACGATGAGGAATTCGTTCGGGGTACGGGTGCAGGGGTGTGTTAGTGGAGAGGTTGCCATGGCCCTAGCCGGTGTAAGAGTTGGCTTTCTATGATTGATCGATCGGAGTGTGTTGGTTTGTAGTGGGGCTTCGAGATTTCGCAGGCTGAGTACCGTGAGGTGGTGCTCGAAGGGGTGCTGGAGACAGGTATTGGTTAATGGGTCGTACTTGCATTGGTGGCTGGCGCCAGAAGCTCAGGATCTTAGAGTGGGGCGGGTGCTGTACCCATGCTGGCTGGTCTGTGCTTTTGTGTGTACTTCCATTAGGGGTGAAGAAATGGCAGCTTGACGAGTAAGTGCGATTTTACAACATTAACGTGCACAGGCCCGTTATCCGAATGATATCGAAGTAAGTACCGAATGATTCTTGGTATACAGTGCAGCCACAGGTCATCACTGTTTCGCTGTATGGGGATTGAGAACACTGATTGCTCGAAGCTTGTTGGGCAGTTCCTACTCTTGCATCAGCAATCTTTCGATGAGAAGTTCCGGTTATCTATCAGAAAGTAAGGCTCCGCGCGATCAAACGCAAGAAAGGGACGCTTGCGGAAGGCAAGCAAGAGAGACGTTGAAGTTACCCGTGTTTTCAAATTAGTTTAGGCGTTGGAAGTGCATTCTCGTCGCCATTATTTCGTTGTTTAGTGCTTAGCAGCCATTATTGTGTAGCGAGTGAATGATGAGCTGCGTTGTGATTCCACACTGAAGCTTGTGTACATGGGATCGACAAGACACTTGATGGGATCACGATCGCTCTGATTGCAGCAATATAATTCAGGAGTGTTCCCTCCATGTGAGAATCTAAACAGAAGGTTGTCGACGGCCCAGAAGCTCATATATCTCGACTTATATTTATTTCACTTATTTTTTGGACTGTCGTTAGGTCCATGGTTCAGACAGGGTATTCAATAGAAAGCTTCGATCGGGCTTGACGTTGCGCAGCGAGAGAGAGAGAGAGAGAGAGAGAGAGAGAGAGAGATCGCCGATTGCGATTTAAATTCCAACGAGCTGACTGACTTTCTAAAATGGCTATCATGACACGGCACGCAGTCGAGGCCTTCCCATCTGTTGATGCCCTTTGTGTGGGCGCACGGTGCTCCCATGTTCGAAGCAATCGGTCATTCCTCGATGTCGACAGCCCCCGGTACCGACCACAAAGCCATGGTTCAAGCCCCGTCAAGAAGAAAGCTAGCGCTCGTACGAGCTCCTTTGAAAAAAAGGGCCAGACCTGGTTAGTCCATTATCCTTGACAACAAATGCTTCCTGTCTGCACACACATCCCCCCTCCTCTAGAAATCTCTAGGGGTCTAGAGGTTTCTTATGAATTGCGAATTTCGAGCGGAATTCGGCTTTGAGTATACTTTGTGGAAAGGATGCTCCTACACCTGTTGTGAAGTGTGTAACGCTCAGCACCACTGCCTACTGTCTGTGATTAGTTCTCACGACTGGTCATCTCGATACCTATCTTGAGTTTTTCTGGTTAGCTATGAAAATGCGAGTATGTCGCAATCGTGAACATTCGAGTCGTGTCGACAGTTTAGAGCCGTGGTGTCGTTGAAATCGAGTAGATTCCTGCTTCAACACTCGGGTTTTAGCCATAGCTGCCTCTTTTTACCTCGCCAGCAGCGGCGACTGCGTCTTCTTTCTGAAGTTCTGACACGGATTATGCTTCGGTGCAGGGTTGCAGCCAAAATGTTGCAGAGCGACCTTCTGGTGGAGGTCGCCGACATGAGCTTCCATCTACACAAGGTAATTCCCTGAAAATATATATTTTTTTAAATCTATTGAATGGTAATGGTTGGGACACCGTTAATTTATTCCACCACCCTTGAAGGAGGACGAAATCTCAATCCGAATTACTGCTCCTTCTGTTTGAGACAGAAACACCCAGTGTTAGGCTTGTGTTGTGTTGAAATTTGCTGTGGAGCTGCGGTATGACGAAGGAGGCAGCTGCGGTTTTTCTCTGTTTCACTGAGCACTAAGCAAATGTTTATATCCGTGTGTTTGTTGGCGCGCAGTTTCCACTATTGTCCAGAAGTGGCCGACTGAACCACCTGGTGTTCGAATCACGTGACACTGAGAAAGATCAAATCAAGTTAGACAATATGCCAGGGGGTCCGGCGGCGTTCGAGCTGGCAGTGAAGTTCTGCTATGGGATTCCTATCGTGATCACTAGTGTCAATGTAGTTGCTCTTCGTTGTGCTGCTGAGTATCTAGAAATGACCGAGGACCTGGAAGTGGATAATCTCGTCTCAAAGACCGAGGATTTTTTAAACTCCGAAGTTCTTACCTCTTGGACAGATTCTATCACAGTGTTGAGAGCATGTGAGAAATTATCACCCTGGGCGGAAAAGTTACAAATTGTCAAGAAGTGTAGCGAGTCCATTGCGTGGAAGGCTTGTACTGACCCGCGCGGAATCAGATGGTCTTACTCCAGTGCTGGTGAATCACCCAACCTTTCTCCAAGATTGAATGGATCAGCAAAGAGTAGTACTTCATCGAGAGGCATTCCTCAAGACTGGTGGTTTGCGGACGTTGCCGAACTCAATTTGAAGAGCTTCAAGGTGGTCATGAATGCAATCAAAGCGAAGGGAATGAGACATGACGTGATGGGATCAGCTGTTGTCTACTATGCTTATAGATGGCTGCCAGGTCTGACTGCTTTAGATAACCCGGTGTCGCCTCTGTTGAGAGAAAGCTCGCCCACGACGGATAAAAAGAAGAACAAGGTCTCCTTCACATACAAGAGGGAAAGTGGACATGGTGAAAGTCAAGGCTCAAGTCTCACGAACGATGTAAATGGAGATGTGGCATCTCAAGTTTTGGAGAGAGAGTTTCTAGAAGGAATAGTAGAAGTCTTACCTCCCCAGAAAGATTCGGTGCCAGTAAGTTGTTTGCTGAGGTTGCTGCGACTCTCTATCTTGCTGGATGTGAGTCTTGGCTGTAGGAAAGAGCTCGAGGCAAGGTCTGGAGCGCAGCTGGATCAAGCTACTCTCAGCGACCTCTTAATTCCATCTTGTGCTTACCGAAGTGACACGGTGTACGATGTTGGAGCTGTTCATCGGTGCTTGGACCACTTCTTAGTCCAGGTACTGATTCTTGAGCTCAAAACGTAATCGGCACACTAATGGTGTTTGTATTCTGATATTCAAGTTCTATAGAATCGGTAATGTTGGACGTAGTGAACGTAGACACGCTGCCCAGATTTTTGGACACTGAGAATATCTATTGAAGTGCTTAGACTTAAGCAGTGTGTTAACATTTTTCACCTTAGAATGATGTGATGCTTATTCCCTGATTTTTAACTGATGATTAATGTTTTTTTTCTTATTGCAGGACCATATTCAAACAATCTCCCAGAAGGAAGTCCCCACAAGCTCGGGTAGAGACAAGAATGGCGACGTCTGCGATTGCTCCCATCTGAGACCAGTTGTCGGTCCCCATGCTGCGAAGATGAAAGTGGCCAAGCTCATAGACAGCTACCTCGCAGAAATCGCGCGGGATGGCAATCTGACGTTCTCAAAGTTTCAAGCACTTGCTGAGGCACTACCAGACTTTTCACGAACTACGGATGATGGCTTGTACCGCGCAATTGACACATTCCTCAAGGTATCTTGTGTTTTGTGTCCTTATATGTTCCACGCATGGACATGAAAAATATGCATGCATGCTAATATTTTCATGTCACACCTACACATACTCATCATTATAAAAACTAAGAGTTCATTTTCTCGTGCAGGAGCATCCAAGTTTAAGCGAACATGAGCGGAAAAAGCTTTGTCGTATGATGGACTGTCAACGGCTTTCTCTAGAAGCGTGCATGCATGCGGCACAAAATGAGCGCCTCCCTCTCAGAATAGTTGTCCAAGTAGAACCCTCACTCTCAACCCTCAACAGTCGTAGTATTTACAATGCATCCACTACCTACAACTTTGTGTAACGAAATAACGAAGTCTAATTTTTAACGCTGCTCACGTCTCTTAGAAGTGAAAGATGATGCTGAAAGAACTTAATATTTGTTCGGCAGGTACTATTCAGTGAGCAATTAAAATTACGAAACGCAATCTCCAGTACCACTCCAGCACGTCCAGAGCGAATCCCAGAATCTCCTCTGCACCAAGGATCGGCCTCTGGCTCTGCCCCCCCCGTAGTCAGACCCATTATTCCCATTCGAGACGCAACTAACTCCCAGATGAATATTAGAGCTCTTCAACATGATGTCATGTTTATGAAGGCAAAGTTTGCAGAGCTTCAGAGGGATTACACGCAAGTAACTCAACAGGTACACTTCATCTCCTGCGCCAACTTTGTTCAAAAGCTCTTTTCCTTAAATATTTTGGGGATACATACCGCAATTCTAAGAGATGAACGGTCACCTTGTGGATGTGCCTGCAGGTGGAAAAGCTAACTAAACAAAAAGGCTCATGGGTGAAGCGTCTGTTTCATTCAAAGGACCATGCAGAGACGACGCCTTCGCCGTGGCACCCACGATGGAGTCGGGCGTGGAGAAATTCCATCTCCTAGTTTCTAATTCGTAATTCGTGGCAACGGATGCTTTGTATAATTCGCTTGTTCAGTATCCGGTGCTGCTTCCAACGCCACGAAGGAGGATGAAGGTGGTTTCGGAGAACTTTTAAAGAAAGGGAACAGTGAATGAGGCCGACCGCTGACGCACTGGACCAACATGTCGGAGTTGAGGTGCCGTGGGCGCAGGCTGCATGGAAGAGGGAAGAGGACGGTAGAGACGGTAGAAGCAGCGAGCCCTCGGCATGAAGGACCAACATGGGAGCTGCGGAGTTTCTGGCCCAGCAGAACAGAGGGATTTGCGGTAGGGGAGGAGGGGGGACAATCTGAATGAACAATCTGTACATTATTTGACTATTTTGTATAAATGGCGAAGGGTTGCAAGCAACTGGGAAATTGGCGCCAGGTCTAGCGCGCCTGGTTGACAGCTCTGTATCGTGTGTGTGTGTGTGTGTGTATGTATCTGTGTGTGTATATGTGTGTGTGTGTATGTGTGTGTATGTGTGTGTGTATGTGTGTGTATGTATGTGTGTGTGTATGTGTGTGTGTGTGTATGTGTGTGTGTGTGTGTATGTATCTGTATGTATGTGTGTGTATGTATCTGTGTGTGTGTGTATGTATCTGTGTGTGTATGTATCTGTGTGTGTGTGTGTATCTGTGTGTGTGTATGTGTGTGTGTATGTATCTGTGTGTGCGTATGTGTGTGTGTGTGTGTGTGTATGTATCTGTGTGTGTGTATGTGTGTGTGTGTGTGTGTATGTATCTGTGTGTGTGTGTGTGTATGTGTGTGTGTGTGTGTATGTATCTGTGTGTATATATGTGTGTGTGTGTATGTGTGTGTGT